ACCACCGCTGTGAGATCCTCATATCCTACAATAAAAACATATTAAACAGGAAGAAGATATATGTTAGTCTCTCTAGAGAAATCTTTAATACATTCATTTATCATGACCTAATTACATCTACGGTACATCCTGCAAGTGTAGTCAGCCCTCCGGACCTACTGCCTGTCCTTGCTTCTCTCGTCATGCGTTTCTTATTGCGGACTTCACAGTGTTTGTGTTATTTCGGACTTAAGTTTCATGCATCATATGTTGTAAGTAAACAGAGGTATTCATAATTATTTACTCTGCGACGACGGTGTTCAGTGTACTTGATGTGTGTATGTACGAGTATGTATGTATGCATGCTTATTCGTCTGAAACCTTGCGTACACGTCGAACCTCCGTCCAAAGGGTCGTACCATATTTTCAAAAGATCCATTGTTTCAGAAGTCAGCTGGGGAACAAAGATTTGGCGATTTTTGCATCAGTAAATTGCAAATGTACATTGAGCTGATACTCTTGAAAATATATACATAACATTATGAGAGCAAAAAGGTACGAGTACTGCAAGGAGGCCGTTCCGTAGCTCAGGCGGTTAGCCAGAGGCTACCCACCGCGGCGGCCAGGGTTCGAGCCTAGGTCAGTTCATGTGGGATTTTTGGTGGACAAAGTGGCACTGGAGCAGGTTTTCTCCTAGTACTTCGGTTTACCCTGCCAATTCTCATTCCACCGACTGCTCCATGTTCACCATCTATCATCCGGGGCTGGTACAATAGGCCAGTTAGTGGCCGACGTACCAAGTGTACTCAGTCTCACCCCGCTCCAAGAAACTAAAAAAAATGTACTCTGCTACGAGGAGTACCGTCTTCTGGGATTTAACTTTGTGTAGTCAGGAAGAATCTTTCGACGTTTCAGAGGAACTTTCTGCCTCAATCTTCAGGGTCTAAGAGTAAGCCAAGGGAGAAACCAGTTACAAACAGGCTGCAAGCACAGCATATGACATATGTTTAGTCCTCTTTTCAGGATATTTTCCAAAGGCCTGTTCAATGGCCTCGTAGAGATATTGTGGCAGGAAAATTATTTCTTCGTATTGTTAAACATTTCGACCAAGTGTCATTTATGTAACTGTGATTAGTAGGGCTTGAGGGTCTCACAGCGGTGGTTTTAATGTTACGTCATCTGGAATATAATGCCGTGCAGTCTCTTGAAAATCAACCGACATTTCGGAGGAATAGTTCGTCTCCATCTTCAGGCTTGAAGAATAAGCCAAGGAAGAAACAGTTTTTCTTTTCACTGCTTGTTTCATGCTGGTAGCTAAACTCAGACATTTGGTTACCAGGTATCCGATATGAGTCTCTGGCTTCTATAAATCCAGCCCGAATTAGGTTGGACTTTCGGTGCAGATGTTTGTTATACTCGTAGATGTGTTCTTTGATCTGTCAAGAAAAGGACTACAGCGTCGGGACGAAATAAATATTATGAATCATAAATGTTCAGATGTGTCGTACATAAAACGTGAAATCGGGAGACACTCTGGCTGTTTCTCCTACACGACAGTAAAGCAGGTCTAATAATTTCTATGTTTCCCGACTCTTATCACGTCACATGGAGAAAAATAGACACGGCTTATGATAACCAAGTGCATTATCAGTAAACTTTAAATAAATAACGATAATGGAGATCTATCATAAGGTAAGCTCGTCCTTGCAATTCTCCGCTTCTATCTCAGTAACTGAGACAATTTCTAGAAATCTGGGAAAACTAGTGGACATCAAAGAGTGTCTACAATTTTCAGATTTTCCTAGTTCGGTGTTATCGATTTTTTAAATACAATTTGGTATGCTGAACGAAACGCCTAAATCTTTATATTAAAGACACGCAGATTAGGAGGACGTTTCAAGAAAATCTTGTCCGCATAATTTCACTTGTATTTAGAATTGTTAAAATAACAAACATTAGTGTCATCATATCGTCACGAATTTTGGCAGTGAGAGCGGATCCCATAACAAATTTTGGTGATCGTGTAGTCATCATAAATATGTCAGTTCATTAAGCAAGCAAAAATATTCCTTTGAAGGTAAGTCTGGAAGAATATTTGGACTCATCTTCTTACCTTTAGCTCCGGCGAACAGAGCCCTTCTGTAAAAATAATAGTCGCTCAGTTACACGAGCCGGTTCATTGCCATATTCACAAAGCCCGTACCTCAACCTCGACCAGAGCCAGATGAATCCAGTTTTCACGCCCTATTCCTTTAAAATACGTCCTCCTTCCATGTCAGATCATTTTAAGGTGCTGTTAGTAAATTTGGGGCACGCGGTAGCGTAGTTGGTTGAGGCACTATGCTGCAATCCGGAAGGTCGCAGATTCGATTTCCGATGACGTCACTGAATTTCAGTTAACCTAATCCTTTCAGCCGCATTATAGTCCTGTGGTCTACTCAGCCTCTAACAGAAATGAGTACCAGGAATCTTCCTGGGGGGGTAAAGGGAGGCCGGAGCATAAGATTGACAACCTCACCGCCATCTGTGAACCGAATGTCTAGAAAATGTGGGAGCCTCGACGTCTCACAACCATATGGGCCTCCACGGCCTGTTACAGGTATAGGTTTTATACACAGTAAACAGAAATGGAGGTGTTGCCTCCACAGAGACAAATGGTTGTTCTATATTTAATTCACAACATATTTCGGCCAGTATAAGTCACATGTTTGTGTGGCGGCAACATCTCTGTTTCTATTTGAGCACCACAAATAAGATTCAGCGCTACAAGTTGCTGTAGGTAGCTAGACTGCATAGCATCAGATGGCACGATGATTAATACATCATGAATTGGAAAGAATTTGGAAGGAAGCTGCCGTGGTCTAATCGAGGTTCCATCCCGCCACTCGCCTGGAGATACTGAGGAAACCCACGAAAAATCTCAGTGAGAATTGCCGGAGTCCCCGCCGGGATTCAAATCGAGCACCTCCCGTAGCTTTACAGCTACGTCGATCCGTTCCCTCGTCCTTCCACTGTGCCCAGGTTTCCTTAGTAATTAATAAGTGACTAACCAACTCGTGGTGTTACAAGCGCGTACGCTGCTGGACCCTGCCCTGTGTTAACTTCAATTCTTTCACTTCAGAAAGTCATAAAATATTCAATGAATGGCCTTATAAAATCCTGTGGCTGGGGGCTCTTGCAGATGTATTGTTCTTTTCAGTCTGTAAGAACATTTTGTTTCCTCGCAGCTTTTTGTATGCTTGTCATTGAGTTTGACCACTTGCTGGTATCTCATTCAGTAACTGGCGCTGGATCACTCTCTGAAGGCAGAAATGCGTGAAGTCATACCTCCACTCCTCCATATGTCTTCATTGTGTGGTCCAAAACGACAGTTGTGTCTCTTATGCGTGGTGCAGTTGTGGCGCTGGCCAAGGCAGACCCCATTTTCACCGCGGGAGGCTTTCTCCGGGGATAAAGAAAGGCCAGTCCGTGAACTCCATCGCCGCTGCCATCTCGTGTCAGGACTGAGAGTGCACGGAGCCCTACATTTTTAATGGCGTTGTATTTTGGTGTGTTTGTTTTGACAGAGCTTTTCACAGGAGTGGGGGAAAGGGCGAATCGACTTTTGTTTGGTCCATTAACGTTTTAGACAGGTCAAAGACAGGGAAAGATAAGACACGAAGTGTCTTCGCCTGCTCGAACACTGGGATCGTGGATTCGAATCCCACTCGAAGCATTCTGTGTTAGTGTTTTCCTGTGTATGTAGCTGCCTTGCGACAGGGCTGATCACTCGTCGAAGGAGTCCTGCCGACTGCCTGTAAGGCTTCAGATTTCAAAATTACTTAATTCTGAAAGGGCAGCTACGAGGGGGACGCGGTAGCGTAGTTGGTTGAGGCACTTTGCTACCAGCAGCAAGGTCGCGGGTTCGAGTCCCGATGAGGTGAATTTTTTCAATCGACCTAATCCTTCCAGCCGCACTATGGCCCTGGGGTCGACTCAGCCTCTAACAGAAATTACAACCAGGAATCTTCCTAAGGCGTAAAGGGCTGCCGGCGCGTAAGGCTGACAACCTTACCGCCATCTCTGAGCCTAATGTCTAAAGAAACTGTGGGAGCCTCTCACAACCCTATGGGCCTTCACGGCCTGTTACAAGGATAGCTTTACTTTCTATTTTTGTCACAGACCAGAGAGCCTAATCCATCTAGGTAAAAACAGGTAATCTTCTCCCTGTGGCTAATCAACTAAGCACTACGCCATGAAGACGTATGGGGGAGTTGATTTATAAATCCACGTATTCTTGACATAGGCAATAGCTGGGGTATGCTTGACGCCCGGCCGCTTTATCCCCGGGGAAAGAGCCTCCGGTACCCTTTGGCTAGGAGGCTGGGAGTTGACGAAGTGGAGAAGAGAAAAATCTTGCCCCTACCGGGACTCCAAGTCTGCCCCTTGGCCGCCCAGCCTGTAACCAGTCGCTATACTGACTGCGCTGTCCGGGTCCTAATCCATCTAGGTAGAAGAGCGAAGGGAGCAGCAGTAGCAGGAAATTGTATGTTTAATTTTCATGAATCCTATGTTCATATTTATAATACAACCCATTGGTATGTAGAGTATGTTGTAATAAAAGTTGGAGCACTTCGCAAATTCACTGCATTTTCTACCGTGATTCAGACCCGAGAGCCGATATGGAACTGTTATGCATCGTCATGCAACCCAAAGTTTTGAACCATTTACCTATGGCTGCTTTCATCCACTTCATTACCGGCCCTTTCGGAAAACAATATCATAGTGTATTATACTTACATACCAACTAATAAGAACCTACACGCCTTTCTGAGCTTATGTGAGCCAAATATATTTCCAACAAAATTTATAGATAAAATTTAACACATATTGTGCTCTGTGCACTTTTCCCCATTAGTGTTACCATTTTATACGAAGGCAAATCGAAAAGTCTTTGTCCCTATTTTTTCAGCCACAATAATATACATACAGGCAAATCAAACTACAGGCAGTGTTCTAAGTACCTTTGTCTATTTTTCCAGATAGTCACCACCCCGCTTCAGGCATTTGTCCCATCACACCACTAGTTTGGAGATGCCGCTGTTGTAGAATTCATCCGGTTGAGCGCGGAACTACAGCCGGACAGCGGTTTTCGCGTCGTCATCGGAAATGAACCTCTGACATGCCAGGAACTTCTTCAGTGGACGAACACGTGGTAATCACTGGGGGCGAGGTCTGGACTATACGGTACATGCCCCAAAATCTCCCACCCGAATGACTGCAGTCACGCCCGGGGATTCTCGTGGACGATGTGGTTCACCTCCATGACAACGCCAGGCTTCATGTGGCAAACAGGACCGCCGCCCGACTGCCCCCAGTCACCGGTGTGGTGACTATGTGGAAAAGTAGTCAAAGGTACTTAGAACACTGCCTGTAGTTTGATTTCCCTGTATGTATATTATTGTGGCTGAAAAAAAAATAGGGGCAAAGACTTTTCGATTTGCCCTCGTATATAATTAAACAACAACCTTACGCTATGTATGCATTTCCCGACTTCATGATGGAGAGTCAAAAACGGTTTTCCGAAAACACATGAACACCGAAGAGAACAAATTCTTCAGCTATTTCAACGGGAGACAGCAACAGAAGAGCAAATAGAAGTCTTAGCTGAGTTGGGATTGCATTCAAATTGGATTCGTAAAAAAACAATTTATTAATTAAGGACAATTTTCGTTGTACTAGATCACCGAATGTAACCTCCTTGAGGACAGTTTCCTTTAGCTTTCAGTGGAATTATTCCTTATAATACGTTGCAAAGCTTGAAACCCCGTTGACTGTTATATTAAAAATTTATGGCTCTACAGCCCGTGTGGACTTCGGCTGATTTTTCAGTTTTTTTAATCTGCACAGTCGGTAGAACTCCATAGACGAGGGATCAATCTGTCCCAAAGCCGCTTCCTACAGACAGAACAACATAAACACAAAATAAACGCACATACACATCCATGCCTCGAGTGGGATTCGAACCCACAATCCCAGTGTTTGAGGGGGCTAAGACGGTTCCTGCCTTAGACCGCGCGGCCATTGTGATCGGCACATTAAAAACCTATCTGTATTAAAAGGTAAAGGCAAAGCTGTTCCTGTGCTTAATTAATTAAGCATCAAGCCATGAAGATAAAGGGACGTATACTAGGGCCCTCTGTCAGAAGAACGAACAATCTCTTAAAATTAAACAGGGACAAATTCAGATGGGTGGTAAGGCTGTTTACAGAACGCTGTCACCTAAAAGGCTATTCTTTCAAACTGGGATTGACAGATGACCCTATTTGTGAAAGGTGCCTGGAAAAAGTTGAAACAGCCACACACATCCTATGTGATTGTGACGCAATAGCTTATTTCAGATTTCGTCACCTGGTCCAGTTTTTAATGGAACCAAGCGACTACTATGACGCCCCCATAAACAAAGTCCTACGTTTTATTCGAAGTGTAGGATTGATAAAGGGTTAATCAAAAGGGGGAAGCACAATAGATCATTGAAGGTCGCAGTCAAGGGCCGGATTATTATGGCCCAACCCGTTATGCACTAAAGTCGTGAAGATGTATGGGATAGTGGAGGTATGGCTCCGACATTCTTGACCTCGGCATTAGATGGGCGTTAGTGGCCAGATTCGCGCCCCGGTCACTCTACATCCGGGCAAAGAGCCCCCGGTGTCCACTGGGCGGGAAGCTGTGGCTAGACCATACAGCGGTCACCGCTAGAAGTTCAGCCACGTCACCACTGCCCGTATCCTCTCCTCATCTACGTATATTGTGAGAGGTAGACCCATCTCTAGGAAACGAGTTGACAAACAAGTTTCCGTAGAGATGGATACTTGGAAACTAACTCGGTACAGGACACATTTCCATGGATACCGATACGCTATATAAGAGAGACTGACCGTCGGTCGTAACATAAGACTGAGACTCAGACTGAAGTCAATCGCAGTTCAAGCCAGTAACCAGAGAGGAGCGTGTCCTGGGCAGTCATTTATCGTAAGTTATTGTAATTGACTGTGATTACGACAGATTGTACAAGAAGGAGTTAATAAATCCAATTACCCTATAAAAATCTGTTATTATTAGTCACGGAGCCACAAACGCGTGACAGTATGTTTTAGATTTCCTAATTTCATGTAACAATAGTCTGTACCAAGACAAAGGCACTAGAGCTGGGGTGTATTGCTATGGGACAAAGCGGAAACTTAGTTTTAGTCTTGGGCACTACACAATATTATTCCAGGCAGAGGTGTATGTCGTTAAGGCATGCGCAGTTGAGAATCTAGATAGGAACCACAGAAACAGAAACATCTTCGTTTTATCAGAAAGTCAGGCTGCAATTAAAGCACTTGGTACACGCCAGATCACTTCAAGGTTGGTCTGCACTGCCACCAATCCCTCACACAACTGGCAAGACAGAGTTCAACTGATATGGGTGCCAGGCCATGAGGGTACTGCAGGGAATGAAACGGCAGATCAACTGGCAAGAACAGGATCTGAACAGCCGTTCACAGGACCTGAACCATTTTGCGGCATCTCAGTAGGAGTTGCCAAGAAAGCGATCAGGGACTGGACTAACAGAAATCACAAAAACACTGGGAATCCACAACGGGACTCAAACAGGCAAAGGGATTTATATCAGGACCCTCTGCTAGAAGAACGAAGGATCTGTTGAAATTAAACAGAGACCAATTAAGATGGGCGGTAGGATTACTTACTGGACACTGTCACCAGAAGAACACCTTTTCAAACTTGGGTTGACAGGTGACCCCACTTGTGAGAGGTGCCTACAAGAAGATGAATCAGCCACTCACATCCTATGTGATTGTGAGGCCATAGCTTATTTAAGATTTCGTCACCTGAGCCAGTTCTTTATAGAATTAAGTGACTTTTACGCCTCCCCGATATATAAATACTTACGTTTCATTCGAAGTGTAGGATTAATAAAGGGTTAATCCAAAAGGGAAGCACAACAGATCATTGAAGGTCGCAGTGCAAGGGCCGGATTTTATGGCCCAACCCTTACATACAGTACATACGTACTACATAGTATGTAGCCACTGATGCATTGCGGGTATGTGGAACAGCGCAGACCGCCAAGAAATCATGTTCAAAGTGGAGAGACTTTATTCAAGTGGCTCGCGGGGAGTGGAGGGTAGCCGTAAGGGCAAAGACGGATTCAACAGTAAGCGGACTAAGATTCCGCTTAGGGCCCTGACTTCCGAAAAGGCCCCCAAATTGTTCTGTGAATTTATGTTCCCAAAGTCAGCGAAGTGACGCGCGAAACACTGAATTGGGGCACGTACTATGCACATTATTGGATTGCTCAGAAACTTAACTACCAACTGATGAAATTCTATACATATTTACTTACCTTATAAAACCCATAAGCCGATCACAGTGGCCGCGCGGTCTAAGGCATGAACCGTCTTCGCCCGCTCAAATACTGGGGTTCTGGGTTCGAATCTCACTCGAGGCATGGATGTCTGTATGCGTTTATTCTGCGTTTGTGTTGTTCTGTGTGTAAGTAGCGGCCTTGCGACGGGTTGATCCCCCGTCTAAGGAGTCCTACCGACTGTGTACAGGATTACGAAACTGAAAAAGCGGCCAAGGCCCAACAAAGGGCTGTAGAGCCACGATAATAATAATAAGCCCATAAAAAACATTTCAATTAGCAGTAATTATGCTGTCCAGGAGTCTATGCAGTCTTAGAATTCGCTGTACAGGTTATTTTTAATGACACTGCCTCCACCGCATCGCTGTGGATTTCAGTGTGATTGTTGGTGGCTTAAGGGTGATTTGTCGTTTTCTGCGGTATGTTTCGAAAATAGCGAGTTCGCTTTCGTGAAAACTTATCTCTGCATCACCCTAGTATAGCATAAGGAACTCAACAGCTTTTAAATTAATATTGTATTTTAGCAGCGGATGTACACAAGTGAGCATGATAGTGTTGGAGGTGTGCCTCTCATATGTGCTGCTGCTTTTCTGGCAGAGAAAGAAAGCTGATCTTCAGCTTACACTCCAGTCGGCATTGATGAATATAAGTAAATTCTAAGTAATTCAATGCATGCATTTTTCTCTAGTTAATAAACATTTTAAGTGACACATCATTGCTTTTTGTCTAAAATAATGTGACATGATACCCGAAGGTCGGAATAATAAAATCAGAGGCGACGTCCATTACTAGGCAACTGCTCGGTAAACACGTTCCCGCGGCAACGAATACGCAAGCGGCAATCGAATAACTTCCGCTGGTATTCAATGACGCCGTAAAAACGCCTTCCTAACAATAGAGAGGCCGTATTTTCTGTGTGCTCCTTCCCTAGGGGTTATGAAAAGGACAAAGAAGATCGTTTGAATTAGTTGAGTGAGACGCCAGCCTGCGAGGATATAAGCTTGGCAGCAGAGGAATTAGAACTGAATCGAGTTCCGGAGTCGGCAGTCGAAGGTGACCGAGAAGGAATGGCAAGAAAGCAATTAGACTATGCATAGAAGACTTCAAGTGTGCTGCAGTTACACTGAGATTTGTATAACTGCTGCATTCAAATCCGTTGCCAGAATACGACAAGTGAAAACTGTGAACCCTAGTGCGTGTGTAACGGTGAATTGTAAATTGTGTAGATCAGCGATAACGCTGTATTACTTGTGGTCCCGAGATGAATGTATAAGGTATAAATAAATCCAGTCATTCAATCCCGTCTATAAGTCACGCACACCCTTTACACATAATAACTAGAACGAATGCAAATATGTGACGTTGTTAATATTGTTATTGCTACTATGTAGATTTTTAAACTCAGAAATATGATGCGGTAATTGCAGGCTTTGTGAAAAGCAGGGTAAAATTCATGCAAACAAGTGCTACACTTTCATGTTCCACCTTCAGTGTTCAGTGCAGTTTAAGTTTAAAGAATATAATGAAATTACAGCTTAATCGAAAATTCTTACTCAAGGCAACATATTTATTTATTAATTTATGTACTTAATATACCATTTGAGCAAGGGCTACTTTCTATAAAGATGTTCTTATTATCCAATACATTTTTTCCCCTTGGCACTACAGCCCCAGTGGGCCTAGGCCTACCTCCATGCACTCCGTTTCGGTTTTTCTCGATCTTAGACATACGGTAGGACTCCTTGGACGAGTGATCAGCTCGTCGCAAGGCCTCTACCTGTACACAAACATCCATGCCCTGAGTGGGATTCGAACCCACAATCCCGGCTTCCGAGCGAGCGAAGACAGTGCATGCCTTAGACCGCTCGGCTACCGTGACCGGCATTATCCCATAAATATACTGGTATATTTTCAGTAATTACTTGAAAAAATCACGATTGTAGAAATTATTTTAGCTCTACCATATAAGACCCCCAAATGTATTTCCGCTTAGGGCCACATGAATTTTAAATCCGCTACTGTATCGCAGTGACATGTGTGTCTCCTTGGCAGGTGGAGTTGGTTAGGGTTTTCACCAAATTGACTTACAAGAACTACCGCCCTGAACTGCATCTTTTGGAAAGTATCAATTAGTAATTTTTGAGGTGGTCCATCGCTGTTGGAACCTCTAGATCTTTGTGTATGTTCCCGAGGCAGCTGTTGTCTAGAAGTTTTAAGCACACTTGTAACACTTGACATACTCGTCAGACTACGTCAAGGAAAGCCCGTTTCAGTTACAGATATCAGCCTCAATACTGTTCTAAAGAAAGTGGTCACCCTGTGCCAGTCGTACGAATAGGCCTATAACTTATGCTCTTACATTATGAGCCTTAAAGAACAGAGACAATATATATTGTCTTACCACATTATTTTCAATCCCTCAACCGTAATTGTATTCTACTGCTTGATTATAAGTGTTAAATAAACTGTTAAGTAACAACGTTTAATTGAAACACCATTGTTAGTTATTGTTAATTCACATATTAGCTTTTCATTGGATTTTCGCCCGCGATCGTGTGCAGTTTTCTGTTCACATTGCTTTGCTTGTCACAATAATATAGCCTAGTAAGTTCCTTTTATTTCGAACCGAACACAGTTCAGGACTGTGGTATGTCCCGACCTGAAGTAGCCGTTTTGGAAACCTACAGTAAAACGAAAACAAAGATACTCTAATACTAGAACGTACCTCTCTTAATTCCAGTTTTAACAGAGTAAGAAAGTTCACTGAAAGATATGCTAAGAGTTCTCGATGAATCGCATTGTTCTGTTGTCGGCTGAGGCACTGTCGAGATCAGCGTAGGCGAACACTGAGGAGGAGAATGCCTAAGAGTTTCCAGTTTGGGAATATGCGGTCTTCTGGCAGCTAATATAGCACTGAATAAAGTCGTACTTTCTGCAGCGACGCTACAAATACTATCACTTGTATCACAGTCACTGGAATTGCTATGCACTACGGCAGATACATGTGTTGACGAGCTGTTCGTATTGCCTAGCACCACTGCTGTGGTCACTGTTGTTCTTGAACAGGAGGCGGAAGCGTTTCCCTCCGCCATCCTCCTACACTGCCAACACACGCACAACTGATCCTAACCAGCTTTGAGAGACTTGCCAGCTGTCCTTGTAGCAGTGTTGCAGTGTGAGGTCCAAGTCAGGCATCCTCTCGTCGCTCGTAGCAGTTAACTGTTAACGCCACGAAGCATATCAGCACTTTAAGTAATCTTATCTGTTGCCTGTGTGGCCCCTACATGTCCATTGTTTACAAATAGCAGAAATTATGTGTGGCTGACTGAACAGAAAATCTTAATCGTTTAAACAGAGCATAGACGAACGAGTTCAGAGTTTCTGTTGATATTTGAAGAGACGAGACCACTTCGTTGCCCAGGCGAAGATGTAGAGAAATTATTACATTGTTTTTTTTTAAATTTAATAGGAATTGGATTCATCCGGCTCAGGACTGGGACCAGTAGAGGGCTCTTGTGAACGCGGCAATAAATCTTCAGGTTTCTTAAATGGCAAGGGATTTTATGACTAACTGAGCGATTGAAGGATTCTGCTATATGGAGATAACGCTACCAGGCGTTTTGTATTTCTTTCTGTTATTAGGTATAGCAGTAACTTGTAGACATAATTATGGAATATTATGTGAAATCACTTGTCTTTAATAAGCTATATAACTTGCCTAATAATTAACAAACACGACTACAGCGCGTATATTGTCACGTATCCAGGTAACGCAACAAGAAGTTAATGGGTTCCGGATTACATGAACCGATTTTTGAATAGGTTGTTTATAATTATAATTGCAATTACTCAAAAATAACGTCTTCACTCCGCTGTTCTTGTTGGCGTGTCCTAGTTCCTAGCTCTGTGGTTTCTTCTGCTCTCATCTCTGCTCTGTTCGCCTCTGTCCTCCTCTGTTCTGTCTGATCTGTTATATTCGAAAGTCGGACGGTCTAGGAGACATCTTGTTCATGGGTTCAGTTTCACGTTTTCGATGCACCGGTAGCTAGTGTATTCGATGCCGCGGGAACTGCACTAGTTGTGGTATTCTTTTTGCCGTTATAACGGCCTCTTATGTATGCGTTGTCTCGGAAACGTGCATGAACGGTTGCCAAGCTAGACAATTCCTTGTCCGGCTCCACTATTCCGGCTTTTAGGCAGTGTTTACCGAACTTGCTCAGCAATAGTCTGTTCCAGCTTGTTATCTCGGCCACGTGTTTTAACAAGCCGTTGTCTAGCAACGGACGCCCGCTCCGACTTAGACACTGAATCCTGTAACAAACTGACAGGCGACAGGACAGACGGACGGACGGACGGACGGACGAGTGTTCTAGGTTATTTCGAATTTCTTTTCGAAACGTTAACATCGTTGGACAAAATTCGGTGTAGGTGTACCGCGCCATGTTTTATTGATATCAGGACGTGAAGCTGACAGTTCACCTCCGTCTAGTGCCAAGGTCAATTGAATGCTGAAGCTATACCTTCAATCCCTAATGCGTCTTCAGGGAGTGATGCTTAATGAATTAAGCACAGGGACAAATTTACCTTACCCATAGTTTTAGCGTTGTATATTGCTGGCAGACACGGCGAAACTAATAGGTGTTTTTAAAACGTCTTCGGCATTTCTGAACCCTTTTTGTTTTAAATGGTACCCATTCTCATCCTGCAGGTCCAATATGCCTAACGACATTGATATCCCACAATGATAAAATTAGTTCAGAATTTGTCGCGCCTTCGTATCAGGCAACTTCTCCTACTCCCATGTTTGACATGCAGTCGATATAAAACGCTGACGGGAACAAGAAAGAATGTTGCGATGCATTGAGGCGTATCTATGATTCTGTGTTTATTATAACACTGTTACGATTTTTTGCAAAATGAAATAAATATAGCTTGATAAATCACAATTTTTGCTTTTGAAAACACAAACTATTGAATTTATAATAAATTTTAAGTAGGGTTTGGAGTTCTCAGAGTGATGGTCATGAAGAATTCTATTTTCTTGGAAATAATACTGTGCAGTTCGTTTAAATTTAGCCAACGTTACAGAGGTACATGTCACCTCCATCTTCAGGGTAAAAGTGTAAGAGGAACAAGAAACCAGCATGCTTCTTGCCACCTGCTTTCACAGTGGTTTCCTGCTCGGCTTATTCTTCGACCCTGAAGGCACGTTTCTCCGAAACGTCGGTTAACTTTTAGCGGGTTATACGTCATTATATACCAGAAGATAGAACGATTAATATTTTGTCATTCAATCTTTTCTGAGGAGTCGGGTTAGTTCAGTCGGTATAGCGATGGACTACAGACTGGACGGCCGGAGTTCGATTCCCAGCAGAATTGAGAGATTTTCCTCTGCTCCACAGTGTTCAGACCGGCTCCGAGGCCCACCCAGCCTCCTGTCCATTGTGTAAAGTGGGCGGTTTCCCCGGGGGTGAAGCTGACCAGTCACCCCCATCTAGTGTCGAGGTCGAGAATGATGGAAAAATACCTCCACTCCTCCATACGTCCTTCCTGTGCATGAGTTATCAGTACATGGTACGGCCGTCTTGACCCCTTCGGGGAACGAAATTTCAGTATATATTTCATTGGTGGCTTAGTAAACCCAGGTTCCTTCGTTATGTAGCGTCAAGGAGAAGAAAATGAGGAAAATGAAAAGGCTGAGGCATGCAGCACGCATAGGAGAGATGAGAATACAGCCCTTGGTTGGGGCTTGGCCTCTTTTCAGTTTCTTGTTCCTATACACAGTCGGTAGGACTCCTTGGGCGGGAGATCAGCACTTCGTAAGGTCTCTACCTACCAACAGAATAACACAAACAGAATAGACGCACACAATACAGACATCTATGCCTTGAGTGGGATTTGAACCCACGATTGCAACTTTCGAGCAAGCGAAATCTTCATGCCTTATATACCTCGCGGCTACTATGATCGGCATGAGAAACACATACCAGTAACCACTTGTGGTAGGAATAGCTGAAGGGAAGAAATCACTTGGGAAGATCAGGCTCTAAATGGATGATAGATTAAAATGGATCTTGAAGGTAACAAAAGAAGCCAGAGGTAAATTTAACCCTGTGCTCAGTTAATTAAGCCTTACGCCATGAAGACATATGTGAGAGCGAAAGTATAGCTCCACCATTCTTGACCCCGGCACCAGTTGCAGATGAGTGGTCAGCTTCAAGTACCTTTCCAGGGGGAAAGAGCCCCCGGTACGCATTAGATAGGCTGGGTGGGTCCAAAGTTGGTCTGGACACTGTGCAGTAGAATCAAATCGAACCCAGCCGTGATGCCCATAGCCCGTCGCTATACCGAATGCCCAATCCCACTTCAAATGGATCCTAAAGAATTCGATTATAAGAGCATGGACTGGATTCATCTGGCTCAGAACAGGAATCAGTAGATGGATCTTGCAAACGGGATAATGAATCTGTGCGTTCCATAATTAGAGAGTTGCTTGACCAGAAATGCCACGATTTTTTTTTCCTTGACACTACAGCCCCAGTGGGCCTAGGCCTATCTCCATGAACTTCTCCGTTCACTTCAGTTTTTCTAGATCTTAGACATACGGTAGGACTCCTTGGGCGGGTGATCAGCTCGTCGCAAGGCCTCTACCTGTACACAAACACAGAAAATCGCACACAAACATCCATGCCCTGAGTGGGATTCGAACCCACGATCCCGGCTTCCGAGCGAGCGAAGACAGTGCATGCCTTAGACCGCTCGGCTACCGTGACCGGCAATGCCACGATTAGCTTCTCAAAAATTTCTGCTCCGTTCGGTTAATTTAAGGCTATCAATTCAATTGCCTTCATGTGTAACCGAACTGGGGTCTTTGCAGTTGATATATTTTAAGAACAGTCAACTGTAGCGGTAACTCAACGTCTCAAATTGTCTCGTGACTTTGCAAGCAAGCTGTGCCTGGGTTGAAGTCTTCTCAGTCGTCTCAGTGTTCTATAACAAGAGGTCATGACCTGCCATTAGTGTGTTACGGCAATGCCAACCATCTCTGCTGGATGTAGCTATGTTTAGAATGGCGACCACTATCTGCCGCGTCCCCAGATGAGTCTAAAGGCAAGTCAGGAGAAGGAAAATATCTCGGCCGGCATTTCAGAAGTTCGCTGTCTTCATTTAGTCACTTACGTTTAACCTGTTTCATTATTATCAACCAATTAACGTTATGGCAGAATCAGAAAGTTGAACATCATTGATATTAAATCCCAATCTGCCCACAAGGTTTGCGTGTTTCGCATGGTTCTCAAAGTAAAAAGCAATTTTTCTCTCTAAACAGCATTAACCGACTGGTCATTGTAGCGGAGATGTAATGTGTTTCCTGTGAGGTAAGAACTGAATTTTTATATATCATATAGAAATTCAGTCTTTAAGGCTGACCTCTACTACCACTTTAAAGGTGACAGTAGTAATCAGATCCTTCCTCGTGTCGAAAGAGAGGCCCCGTTTCAAAACACGTAAACGTTCTGGTCATGGGTCCTGACGGAAGCCGAAACCAAGATTCACTATGCTGGCGAGGACCAGCAGCAATTTATCCGACCGATCAGTCTTTACGGGGTTAAACAAGATTCTGGGCCAGTTCATTCAACTATAATCTTCGCAACATTTTCTCTCTAACGTTTTTTATTAACATTATCCGTCTATTTTCTTCTCTAAGGGTTTCCTTCAGGTTAGGAGTGATCTATACCAGGCCTCAATTTCATGCGTAACACTCTGTGTTTGCTGTCTCCTTGTTGCCGGTTTCTTACTTGGATTATATTTACATTATTGAAGATGGAAGCGAGATGTACTTCGGAAACATCGAGCCTTTTCCTAAGTACATGGTCACATGTGCAGCCCATCGTAGGTGCCTATATTCCATAGAACCACTGCGTGATCTGTACAAATATGACGGTTCTCATGAAGTGTCCTAAATTACATATTTACCCTATTTCATTCTGATCCTTATGTTGAGCCAAACTAATCCAGTTCGCACCTTCAGAAACTGATTTTCATATATTTACTAAAATATTATCCCTCAACCTACACTTCTTCACTTTCCAATTAATATTTCGTGTTAATATTGTTCATTTCTGTTCGATATATTGTCCATATGTCGCAATGTCAATAATTTAAAAGTCAGTTCTCGGCCTGGAGACTGATTATCC